AGTTTAGGATTTTGTTTAGGGTTGCAGCAGGAGGCGGAATTGGATGGAGCCCTGGAGCCAGCTGACCCAAGGGACCCCTGCGATGCTGGCAGAGCCCTGAAAGCTGCCTGCTCAGTGTGGTCCCACCAGGCCAACAAACAACCCTCCCCCCCCAACTCGCCCAGGGTCATGCTGAGGAGTTCCTGAATCACAAAGGCTACTTGGCTGTGACTGCCAGTGGCCCTCCAGGAAAGCAACCAACCCACAGCTTATTCTTTACTCAGCAAGTAATTAAATTGTGGGATTCGCTGCCAGTGGATTTAGTGATGGCCATCTAAAAGAGGCTTACACATTCAGTGGCTACTAGCTACTGATGGGAGCCTCCATATACAGTGGCAGTAAACCTCCAAAACCCACCCAGTGCCAGGAGGCAACACAGGGGCAGCCTGGCCTCTCTGCCCTGTTTGTCAGCTGCCCAGGGCAACTCATGGGTCATTTGTGAAACAGGTTGCTGGACTGGATACAGGGCTCTTTTTATGTTCTTAACCAGGAACCTTCTCAGAGAGTTCAAGGGCCAGTCTGGCTTTGGACTGTGGTCTTACAGAGTGTTTCAGAACCAAAAGCACTCATGTGCAGCTAAGGTAAACATTTCTTATTACCGCTTTCTCCTTGCCCCCTGCTTAATGGAAAACCATCTCCCCTTTCCTAAGAAATCCCGTACAGGTTCAAAGGAACCTGTTTCTATTGTGACGCTCTGTTCATTAACATTAAGAAGGAATGCACCCTTACTCCCTGAGTTCCATTCAGCTTTGTGGACTTTCTTCTAAGTACATGCATAGGGCCCTGACCCGAATAACCCAAGCTAGCCCGAACTTGGAAGCTAAGCACGGTCAGCCCCGGCTAATATTTGGACAGGAGACCACCGAGGAATACCAGGGTCATGCCTTGGAGGAAAGCGACCTCTGAAACTCTTTTGCCTTGAAAGCCCTAGCGGGTCGCCATAAGTCACCTATGGCTTGATGGGGGGTCTGTGGCTCAAGTGGTTAAGACGCTGAACTGCAGGCTGTGGAAGGTCAGTAGTTCAGCAGTTCAAGACCCGGGTGCCGCAAGACAGGGTGAGCTCCTGTCTCTAGTTCCAGCTCCTGCCAACCTAGCAGTTTGAAAGCAAGAAATTGCAAGTAGATAAATAGGTACCACTTCGGTGGGAAGGTAACAGCGTTCCGTGCGCCTTGGTGTTTAGTCATGCCGGCCACATGACCACAGAAACGTCTTCAGACAGCGCTGGCTCTTCGGCTTGGAAACGGAGATGAGCACCGCAACCCTAGAGTCGGATTCGACTGGCTTTCGAGCAAGGGAACCTTTACCGTTACCTTTTAAGCATTCTTTATGGCTTGCAGCCTAGTCCTATGCATGTTCTTGAACGTGAATACCACGGAATATAATGGGCCCGTGTAAAAATAACACCGTTTCAAAGAAATCTGGAATCGCTGTCCTCCTATACGCACAAAAATTCCGGGCCCGGGGAAAAAAAACACTTGGGAGGCAACGAGCGCGGGGGGGGGGGGGACTTCCTCTTCTCATAGCTGGACTTCCTTCTACCAAAACAAAGTCGGCCGAACTAACGTAGTACAGAAGAACCCGGCAACAGGCTTGGGGGAAAAAAAGAGATCCGGTTGAAATGTAAACAGTAGCCCAGCTGTGGAATCTTGTGAGTCAAAATTCTACTTTGTGAGCTACTGGCATTAAAGTTGTGAGCGAGCGATTTGGCTGCTGCATAAATTAATTTGCTCTGGAGCTATCCTTCCTGAGCGAAGACAAAAATGTGTGAGCCGGAGGCTAAAAAACTGTGAGCTAGCTCACACTAACTCAGCTTAGAGGGAACACTGCTTGCGACATATTAAGGGCTAACAAGTTTCCGTGGACGAGTGCCCACCTCTTTCCATGCAATGATTCAGAAGTGGGCTCCAGCCCAAGGAAAGCTCGCCCTGGAACTGAATCGTATTTACGTTCGAGATCCTACAAAACTCGTAGATGTTTTGACGGCCACAAATTAAAAAGCGCCACCGCTTCCGGCTCGTAAGGGGGGGAAAAATATCAGAAAAATCTCAGCGATCAGTGGCAGGACTTGCACAGAGTCCGGGGGTGAACACCAAGCGGGGCAGGCATCCGGATCGTTTGTCTATTGTCTCTGAAAGCCTGCATCAGAGTGCAAGTTTTAATGCAAAGGTCATTTGGTGGGGGACTTCTACGCCACCCCCCAACAACCCCGCCTTTAAATCAGCAGCTGCATGCAACGAAAAGACCACTGTGTTTTTCTTCCACCCTGCTTTCCTCCCTCCCGTCCACCCTGGAAAGTGCATGCCATGATTTCCAGCCTGAAATCACATCCCCGAAAAGCTGGGGCGGAGGAATTCGGTCTCGATTTCCCCCCACCCCACCCCACCCCCTGCAACGCTCACCCTCACCGGCTTTGTCTACTCTGCTGCGCTGAAACCACAGAGGACGAGAGCGCAGCCCCGGGACGCCGATCCGGCCGCGGCTTTCTTTCCTCTTCTGTTTGGATTCGATGGACCACGTCAGTCTAGCTGCCGCCGCCGCCGCCGCCACGGGATCCGGATCTGGCTACGCAACAGAAAAAGTTTCCACGCTCTTCTCCTATCGGCTCCCACCAGCGTAGCAAGGGGCGGTGCGGAATGCACAGAAGGCCGCCCCTCGGCTCACCTGGTTCGCGGTGCAAGTGGGGGGATCGGCTCGGGGGCCTTCGGGTTCTGCCACCACCCCCTAGGGGGCAGTGGTTCTGCCGTCCCCTCCGGCGGCGAAGGAAGGGTGTCGTCACGCAGGGCGGGCGAGAATTTCTGCCTTCCCTGCTCGCCTTTGCCGTTGTGAACAGAGAGTCTGTCTAGTAGCGCTTGGAAGGCTCGCAGGGGGAAATCTTGCGGGCTGGAGACCCCCCCCCTTCCCCTCCCCCTCCCCGGGCGTCAGATTCGGAAGACGAAAAGGAGTGCAGCGTTTTGCAGAGTTATTCCGGTCTAAGCCCGTGACGCCAGCACCATTTTAAATCACAAACATAAGAACATAAGAGATGCCAATGTTGGATCAGGCCAAAGGCCCATCCAGTCCAACACTCTGTGTCACACAGGGGCCAGAAATACCAGTGCCATCAGGAGGTCCAGCAGTGGGGCCAGGACATTAGACCCCCCCCCCCCCCAAGCACCAAGATGACAGAGCATCACTTGCCCCAGAGCCCCTATCTATACCTTGTGGCTAATAGCCACTGATGGACCTCTGCTCCATATGCTTATCTAATTCCCTTTTGAAGCCGTCCATGCTTGTAGCTGCCACCACTTCCTGTGGCAGTGAGTTCCATGTGTTAATCACTCTTTGGGTGAAGAAGGACTTCCTTTTATCCGTTCTAACCCGACCGCTCAGCAATTTCATGGAGTGCCCACGGGTTCTTGTATTGTGAGAAAGGGAGAAAAGTACCTCTTTCTCTACCTGCTCTTTCCCATGCATAATCTTATAACAACTGCTCTGCATTTCCCATAGGATGCTTAGAAGGCAAGGCCTTGAGGTCAAAGCCTGAGGCAGCGTTCTTCTCCTCTCCCCCCTTCCCGAACAAAAGCAAAAGGCCTGATGATGAGTTCCAGAGAACTCAAAAGCTGTCATGTTCTTTGGTGTCATTTTGGTCAGTCTTAATAAAAGGTGGTTGTTGTTGTTCAGTCGCACAGTCGAGTCCGACTCTTCGGGACCCAATGGACCAGATCACGCCAGGCCTTCCTGTCTTCCGCCGTCCTCTGAAGTTGGCTCAATTTCATGTTCGTTGCATCTATGACACTGTCTAACCTTCTCTAATAAAAGGTATCATTTGGCTTTTGTTTATGCGATTTGCCTCTTACTGATTTCAACGCGCTTAGACCGTAGTTAACTAGCAGCACAATCATTCCGTAGATTCTGCTAGTAAGTGGATTTTGCTGCAGTACAAACCCTTTGCATTTTTTCCCTTTTATTCATTAGGGTTGCTACATGTTAGGTGTTTAAAAGGTTTTTTTAACCTGCCCTGCACATCGTTTTTCTGCAGAAAGATATATTTCTTATTTAGTTCATTTTGATTCCACCTGTCCGCCAAAGGTGGACATTCTGTTATCCATTTTATCCTCACAACAACCCTGTGAGGCAGGGGAGGCTAAGAATGACTGGCTCAAGATCACCCAGTGAACTTCATGGCAGAGGAAGGATTTGACAACCAAAAAAACCACTGTATAAGTAACGCAATCAAAGGCACTATGCTGAAGTGCAAAGGAACAAGGAGTATATAACACAAATGTGTACAAACAGATACAATATAGTGTATACATATGACATACAACAACAACAGAGTGTACAAAAGAAGCCGGCACACAGGACATAGGACGAAGACTCCAGATTCCAATCTTCGGCCCCGGTCACACGGGCCGGATATCGCGGGGGGGAGGCGTGGCTAACTGCCCTGGCGCAGTTTGATGCGCGATTACGCGATCAGATGTTCCGGTGGCGCACCACGGGTTCTTCCCTCCGTGCTGGCGGGTAAACGAGGGACCGGAGGGGAATGCCGCGCGCCGGGCTGATCACACCATGGGCGTCTGGAGGCAGCCCATGGCAAATGCTTACTAGTACCTTGGAGGTACAATTTTTTTAAGTCACATTGTTGGCGGTAAGCCATGGGTGCGCTCCACTTCCCAGATGTTTGGGTGTGATCGCGCCCAGATAATCTGCCCACCATCTGTGCCTCTCCCGCGGCAACTTTGCCGTGTGACTGGGGCCACAGTTTCGTTAATACTTCTTAAGTTGTACCATACAGCTTCATCTAGTGCTCAAAATATAGAAGCCTTCATGTTATTATGCAGGTGGAAATATCCACAATTCACATCAAACTAGTTTAAGCAGGGCAACCAATCATCTGACAATGTAAGAATGTTCTTCTACTGATGATTGGTTGCCCTGCTTAAACTCCACAGCTTAGAGGGAGTATTGGATAGGACACGTTGGGATCCCTACATATTAGGGTTGCCAGCTCTGGGTTGAGGAATACCTGAAAATTTGGGTGGGTGGAGCCTGGGGTGGGGAGGGACCTCAGCAAGGTGTAATGCCACAGAGTCCGCTCTCCAGAGTAGCCATTTCCTCCAAGGAACTGATCTTGGTCACCTGAAGATCAACTGTAATAGCGGGCGATCTCCAGGTGCTACCTGGAGGTTGGCAGCCCTACTACACATACCACCCACCATGAATTCCTTGGAGGAAAAATGGGGGGATAGGAATGCCATAAATAAATAAGACTGAGGGGAACGGAAAATGACCTTTTTTATTTGATGCCCACGTGCCCTGTGTCTAATTTATTTATTTATTTGTGTAGCACAGTTCCTGTACATGACACTTTATGGAGTAAGAAAAAAGTCATGTCTGTGAACAATGCATCTACTATTGTTTGAAATGTTCATTAAAACACTTATACCTAACCTTTCCTTGTGGTTTGGGATGGCTTACAATAATAGTTTAAAGAAATCCAGTTAAAACCAGAATAAAATAACAAACCCCAAATTTCTCCCATCCTCCTTTGCCCTTCAAAAGATGCCTGCTTATTCAAACCCCCTCAAAAAGCCCCAGCAAACAAGCAACCCTTTACTTATACCAGGGGTCCCCATCCCCAATGTGGTGTCCCTGGGCACCAGAGATCTTTACAGGTACCCGCCAAGCATTTTTGGAAAGTGGGCATGGCCAGGTGGGGCTTTGCCCAGCAAGGTTTCTGATTGGCCATTGGAGATTCGATTGGCAGTGCAGATTTCTTTTAAAAAACGTTGCTTTAGCAGCAACCGCCACCATCGCAGCACATGGACATTCACTGTGTGGCTGAAGGTAAGTTATGGTAGCCATTTTGTGCCTAGCTTCACCTAGGGTTGCCAAGTCTGGGTTGGAAAATACCTGGAGACTTTGGGGGTGGAGCCAGGAGAGGGCGTGGTCTGCATGCTCAGAAAGGATGGAGAATGGGGATCCCTTCCTTATGCAGCCTTTCTACCCAACGGGTCCCCCCCAAGGCAGCAAACAATCAAAACCATTAAAGCAAGCACTGAAAAATGACATCTGCACACACGCAATAATTAAAACAGCAACTAAACAAAACACATCGTTAAAACACATAAACAGGAAGGAGGGTAATTGAGGGAATGCCATCTGTATTTTGACTGGGGGGGGGGAATACGGACAGGGGTGGGAGAGGCCAGGGTGGGGGCTGGTGCAGCGCCAGCTCTCTCGTCAAACGACTGCTTGGGGTGGCACAACGATGGTGCTGATGCTCAGCTCACCCTGGCCATCGTCAACAATAAGAGGAAGAGATTGGATTTATACCCCGCCCTTCACTACCCAGAGGAGTCTCAGAGCGGCTTACAAACTCCTTTCCCTTCCCCTCCCCACAACAGACACCCTGTGAGGTAGGTGGGGCTGAGAGAGCTCTTGACAGAAACTGCTCTTTTTCAAGGACAGCTGTGGCCAGAACTACGGCTTGCCCAAGGTCATCCAGCCAGGTGCAAGTGGAGGAGTGGGGAATCAAACCCGGTTCTCCCGGATTAGAGTCTGCGCACTTAACCACTACACCAGACTGGTGTACGCTGAAACAGGAGGTGATGGGTGTACCTTGCTGAGGGTGATGAAATATCTTGACCCAGCTGTGGGCCAGTGTATAGAGTAGTGGCATTACTTTTTCTTTAGGCTGCTGCCACCCGCGCAAGTTTGGCAGGGTGAGCACCCAGTGTCAGCGGGACTGGTTAATCAGAGCAGTTTATTTAGGAACTACCATTACTAGGTAGAGAGACAGACAGAGGTGGGTAACGTTCTAACTGTATGACAGGGTGGGAGGAGACAGAATTTCTGAAAAGAAGCAGGAGCTTGAGAATAGCATTCGGGGAACACACATAGAAATAATATTTGGCAGAAAAAGGTAAAGGTTCCCTTGCTCGAAAGCCAGTCGAGTCCGACTCTAGGGTTGCGGTGCTCATCTCCGTTTCCAAGCCGAAGAGCCAGCGCTGTCCGAAGACGTTTCTGTGGTCATGTGGCCGGCATGACTAAACACCAAGGCGCACGGAACGCTGTTACCTTCCCACCGAAGTGGTACCTATTTATCTACTTGCAATTTCCTGCTTTCGAACTGCTAGGTTGGCAGGAGCTGGAACTAGAGACGGGAGCTCACTCCGTCATGCGGCACACTCGGGTCTCGAACTGCTGAACTACCGACCTTCCACAGCCTGCAGTTCGTCTTCAGGCAGAAGGAAGGTGACAAAACATAGCTTTCCACACGTTGCCCCCTGCAGGAACTTCCTTTCTTCTTGTATACCAGACATTGCATATTTCCACAGTACAGCCACTCACTTTTTACATATTTTTCTCTCTGAACAAAAAAAGGGTGTGGGCTTAAACTTGATTTTGTAGCCACAGTGTTCTTTTTAATCCAGGCAGTGTAAGGTATTGGGGTAAAAAAACACACCTTCCATTCCCCCCCTCCAGAAAACATTGGTCAAGGGAAGTACTCCTTTTCACAAAAAGATGTCCCGAGAACTAACCACTGAACTGGATTGTGCGAATCAATAAATATGCTAAAAAGAAAAGCATCTTTTAAAAAAGAAACATTCCATCTCATCACGAAGAGTATATAAAGGCTCTCTGTGTTTGAAACAGGCTCTGGAAATTGTGAAATATATTGATCTCTGTGACCAAAATTAAGATTTGGGGGTGGGAGAAT